TATAAATTGACTCATCTTCATAAAGGAGCCAATGAAATCAAAGTTTCATGTTCGATTTTGAATTAGAGACGTTAAAAATAATGAATCGACATCGACTATAATCCCTAGCCTTCCAAACTAACGAAAAGCTGACAAAAACGAAGGAAGAAAATTGGGGAAAGAACAGAGAAGGAGAGAAAGAGAGAGAGAGAGAGAGAGAGAGAGAGAGAGAGAGAGAGAGAGGAGTGGGGATTCCCTATTCAATTCCTAATATAAAAGAGATACTCAGTTAAAACTAATTTGTATATAATTGATAAATTGTATGTACCGTGTAATTAAGTTAAAACTTGATTACAGAGGATAATAAAATTTCATATATAGTATATGAAGGTAAAAATCCCTTTAAACATTGTATGCAAGGATTACAGATTACTTCCCTATTCTCTACACATTAATATCACTTAACACAGTATAACATTGTATTATTTAGGAACTTCATGTGCTAACAATATTAGTGGACCATCTATTTCTATACCTTGGCCCAATTCGAGTTTGTAATCCAGATCAGCAGAACAAAGTTCCAGTTGTCACCTACAACACCGTCATCGTTTTTAATCAGCCAAATTGCTGAGTAGAAACTTTACCTATGAACTCACCACCAAGAATTGTAATGAGATATATATATATTATTTTTCACTCTTAATCAGAGATCTCAAGTTGAAGCCTTAGGTATAGGAAAAATCCTAGTTAAGACTTTGGAGTGCTTACCCCGTTAATGAATATGCAAATCCAGGTTAATTGGGATCAAAAAATGATTATCAGACACTGACTGAAAAAATAAAAGAAAAATCTCCTGGTCAATTTTTTTATCCAATTTAATTATATCTATTGCCCAAATGAGAAAAAGAGAAGTAGATTCAAATTTGTTTTTACCAAGTGACCCAAAACGTTAGTTCTTCAAATTCACTTACCTAAGCCGGCTTCCCTAAAGCAACAATCCACTGAAGCAACGTGGGCAGACGGTAAAAATTTACCCGCACCCGGTGTTTACATTAAACCAATAGATGCATGACATATATTTTGTATATGAATTTCAATTATTTAACCATGGTAAATTATATGTATTCTCATCTAATTAAATTAATTAACTATAGTGAGTTAATATAGTTTGGTGTAAACACCCGATGTGGGTAAGTATTTACCGTGGGCAGACATCTAAGAATTTACGTTTAATAGACAAATTATGACATGTAATAGTACTAATATTTTTTAATGTTTTTTTGGGCAGCTGAATAGTCTCAACGTCCCAGTAACAGTGTAATTTTATATAAGTAATGTAATTTACCCCGCACAATAAAAAAAAGTCCAACGAGGAACTGACAAAAACAACCATGGCCCTAAGCATAATGTATTGTTTTCATAATATTCAAAAATTTTACTGCCCACAACTTCATAATAAATTCAGAAACTTTAGAACATAATCAAAAATTAAATACGGGGGACAGCAAGAAATTAAACATTTATAATTGAATAGACAGGTGGGTTGCTTTCCATGAGTAAAGCATAATATCGTCCACACAAAGATTTATCAAAAGCTACATTAGAAGGAAGGGTTGGGCAATTGTAAATGGGTTGTATGAAACATTGTAGACCAGTATATATAATAAAGAAAATGAATTTTTACCTCGTATAGCAAAGGTTAAAACCTTATTTATTTTAAATAAATACCATTTAAAAAAATTATATTTTATAAATACCTTTTAATGTTTATAACAAAATATCTAATTTGGTTACCTCCCACCCCTAAGCCACTAAATACGCTATTCAGTTACACTCTTTTCTTTCTCTCTCTATTTTGGTACATGCCATTCTTTTCCCCCATTCCCTGAAAACACAACTGAGGGCTTCGTCAGAAGCAACTTGATTTTCAGTAACTTGATTTTCTATTACGAAGGGCTCCCTTATTGGATTTTGTGAAAATTTCTCTTACGAAGGGCACCGACGGAGGGCACTTGATTCATGAAAATTTTTGGCGAGACTGTTACGAAGAGCTTGTCATTAAGGGATATTGGCTAGAAAAATGGTGATGTACCAAGTAACAAATTGCAGCATGAGTAATCCATAAAACCAGGCACAAGCATCATTATCCTTTGAGAGAGTATAGCCAATTTATCAAAAAGCCTGTTATTCTGCTTTTTCTTATTGATTTTCTGTTATGCAGGGCTCCCAATTGGGTTTTCTAAAATACGAAGGGCACTTGATTGAATACGAATGGCCTTTTTGGTGAGATTCATAGTTTTTGCTCGACAGTGGATTCGCCGAAAATTAGGGTTTGTTCTTGAACAAAGACGACGGAGTTTGGGGCTGAGCAACTTGATTTTCTGTTAATATATTTCAATGTATTTTCATGTATTTCATTGTATTCATTGTCTTTTTTTCTATTGTAATTCAATGTATCTCGTTGTATTCCATGTATTTCATTATATTCACTGTCTTTTTTTTTTATTGTATTTCAATGTATCCCGTTGTATTTTATGTATTTCATTGTATTCACTGTCTCACTATATGCCATGAATGTATTCATATGTTTTTTTAATTAATATAATTTATGTATTCAGATGTATTATATAATTTCTCTGAAGATTGCTATGTTTTTTTTGTATTTTTCGGCTGAGAATCTTTTTTATAACTGAAAATACAAAATTTGTGTGTTATAATTGAATTTGTTGAGTTATATTAGGAGTCTATTATGTTAATTGATTCACTTTCCGTTTTAAAACAGTGTAATCCCCTATTTCACGCCGTGAATACAATAATCTGTCTAGTTGTGATCCCATGTTTCACTCCATGAATACAATCAAATTCACTCGAATACAACAACTGATTAGCTGGACTTCCCTGATTCACGCCTATTTTTGCTACTGTATTCATGAATACAATAGCTTAAATACATCAAATATATCTTATAACCACAAAAAAATGTATCTATAATCCGCAATATAACAAATAATATTTATAAATGGCTAATTACTACTAAAAGATAGTGCTTTACGAAATTTTTTCTAAAGAAAACATAAATTCTCAAGACAAACATTATTGGACCGTTGGAAAGAATGACAATTGACAGGTTTGCAATTTATGATTGCACTGGAGTGGATTCGAGCAATTCATTCAAGTTGTTGGCTTAAAGTGTAACAACCCTCATTTTCTGATTTCTCTCTTAATTACAACAATAATATGTCGAATATCTAAACGTTTATTAATTTGACCCTTCATCCAATTTACAGAAAAGAGAAAAAGAAAAAAAGAGGAGGGGAAAGTGCATGGAGGAAGAAGAATAAGTTTACGGTATTAAGCCCCCCAGTTTATGTGGAATATTCTGAAGCCGGTTAAAAGAGAAAAATGTATTCCTAAACCTTTGCTTTATATCACATTATCACTTGCTTTTGCTTATTTTAACTTTGAAAAGATACTTTTTTTGTAAAACATAAATCTGAAATGATATTGCTAGTCTATTCAAAGTAGAAAAATGTTATTCTGCACAGCCTTGAGATTCTTCTATCTTTCTAGCACTTGAGAATAAAGGTGCACTACGTGTTCAATAATTGGACTTCTGGTTTTACTTTTAACATAACTCTGGCGAAAGTTGTGTGTTAAAAATTTGTTTGAAGAACATATTGTTTGTCTTTGAGATTTAATTTCCATAAAATATATATTGGTGCGACTTTCCTAAAGTAAAATACATATATAAACCAAGTTTCATAGGAGTATATATTAAAATAATTAAGATAGAAATAGTATTAAATAGTTCGGTTTATTTAATTAAAATAAAAATAACTAAACATGTTTAACAAAAATTGTTAATTACAATCAAAATCAACTATAAGCAATTAATTCGGGCAAAGAAAATTCCTAGCACGTCGTTAATTGGATTAGCAAAGAAACAGGGGGGAAATGAACATTAATGAAAAAATAACTATAGTATTAGTTTGCAGATGAAACGATATTATAGCTAACTGGCCTAAACCTATTTACCTACGCAATAAGTAGTTTTTGTTAAACAAGAAACCTTGTTATTTTAATCATTTGGAAGTCCATGCTATTCCTTTAGATTACCAAGTCTTTCACAGTACTAAGATTGATGTTGAGATGCTCCACAATATGATCTCTATATTCTATAATCACTATGAGTCTATCAGATGTGCTAAGCATGTATGATCTCGAATTGATGATTTGTTTCAAATACTAATTTTCTATGTAAACGATAGGAGTAATTAATTTTTCAACTTCTAATTCTGATTGAACTAAGACAGACGTTGATTAACTTGTAGTCGTAAAAGAAGTCACACTTTTTTCTTGTTGATTAGCTACCTTCTAGTATATCTCTTAACTTTTAGAAAAATTCTACTTTGTTTTAGATGAGTAACTATCTCACATTTTATCTCAGATAACTACACCTCCATGTTTGCTTTATTTTTGTGATTGATTAATTATTCTTCGTTTATCCATCTAAACTCGATCGAAAGTGGTTCCTCTTTAAATACCACATTTGATGTAATTGCTAGGTCTCGGACTAGTGACATGCGTTAAGCACACATCTCGTTTAAGAATATCACGCATCATATTTAGCTTAATTCTTATTTTCTCTAAATTTAATTGGTCTCAAGATGATCTTCACGAATAAAACAATTGATCATTAAATTTGGTATTTGATCTATCCTCTTAAGTGCAAAAAAAAAAGTGAACTTAATTCTTATGCACTATGGTATAGTTATTACAAGCTTAAAAATCAATTACAAATACTTTTATGCATTAAGGATGAATTGATGACATGGAAAAATATGAGAACTAACCTACTATTACAGGTTGAATATGTGCAAATTAAAGCTCTTTTTTGAAGACAATGGAAGTAGCAATAGGGAATCGTCTTAACGTTGCAAATTTATGGGAATTATAGCAATTGAAGGATTTATTCTGTAACCTTATAATTTATATATTCAACGGTCCAAATACAGTAATGACCAAAAGTCCCTTCAGTTTTCACTCTTTCCACTCTGCTCCTACCTAGACTTATTCCACAAGGCACACGCGGAAATTTATTCCTACAATAATATGCCCATCTAATTGACTTTCCTAAAATACCCCTGCCCACACCTTAAATACCAAGATACCATTCTCCCTGTTATTGCAAACTTCTTTTTCTCACCGAACTCTGTTTTTTTCCTTCTAAACAAGAAATTCCAGAAAGAGCGAACAATGAAAGCTGGTGGCTATTTGTTTTCATTCAAGAGGCTTAACAAGAAGGGTGTCGCCGGAACTGTTGGTTCTGAAGTTGGTAGCGCCGGAGATCATCATCAACTTCATGATTCCTTAACTGATCAGCCGCGGCCGTCGTCGTTGCGGTGGCGATTCAGGAATTTGTCTTCTGGTTTGAGGTGGAAGCGTAAGAAGCTTTACAAATTGAGATACTGGATCGTTGACTGCCTCCTCTTCAAGATTGTTTCTGTCTTTGAAGCCATTTTTCTCGTCTCCACCTTGGCTTTTTTCTACCTCTGCTGCGGCTGCCATATCTAGATTCTTCCATATTAAAAAAAATAGCCATTTATTATAGATTTTCCTCCTTTTTGAGCCTTTCTTTTTACTAAGTTGATGGAGCATATTAACAGCTGGGAAGTGGAATTCTGAAGAAAAAAAAAGTTGATATCTTTGTGGGGAGGGCCGGGGCAAGAGATCGTTGGAGGAGCTCATGGCTAATGCATTAATGCTTAATGGGGTGAAAATTATCATTAGATGACTCTTTTCTTTCTTCTATTTTCTGGTTGAATTTTGTTGACGTTTTGTAATGTATAGAGAAAGTTAATGTACTAATTTGCATTACTAACTTAGAGATTCTTTTGTATGTAATGTAATCTTAATATCTTATTGTTCGTTTCTTTAACTAGTAGTCCTTAGATTTCTTCTCTTTCTTGTTATTCTTTACTCTCTTGGCCTGTACGCAAGCCTTTTTACTTAATTATATATGGTTTTTTTTTTCTGGTGTCAATAGTGGGGTTTGGCTAATCATATCCTAATTAGTTTCATATGGTAATGACAAATCATTACTCCTTCTGTTTCAATTTTGATGTGATAGTTTGACTCGACACGGAGTTGAAGTAAAAAAGGAAAGATTTTTGAAACTTGTGTTCTTAAAATTTTAAGGGGTAAAAGTTTTGTGGGCCATAATATTTTTGTGGTTATAAAAACTTCTCATTAATTAAGGATAAAATCGGTAAAATAAAGAGTTTAAAGTTGAATTGTTTTCAAATTTAAAAATTTGTCATTTATTTTAGAACCTGCTAAAAACTAAAATACCTTGTCTAATTTGAAAGGGAGAGAATAATAAATTACTCCTAATTGGCTATATATTAATGATAAATTTTGACGTTGAATGTAAAACTCAACCACTGTACGATTTGAAAATGACGAAGCAATACTATAGTAGCAGATAGAAACGGTATGAGCAAATATATGGAAATTATATTCAAACACCTAAGGTATGACCTAGTGATCAATGAAATTGGAAGATAATTACGAGGTTTCAGGTATAACTTGTAATGGAGGCAAAAAAATATTAGGTATATTTCCCTTTGTGTAAGCTTGATGTGCAACGTTACTTGGTATTTCTGCTGGTGGAGGTAACAAATTCAGATTAAAAAAAAAAGTTCATCTAGACATTACGTAAAAAAAAAGGTTCTAATCCTTTTTTCTTTTAAGTTAAGTTTTTTCATCGGATCCTTCAAGAGCTAAAGTTAAAATGTACCCCTATCCATTTGCAATTGCTTATCATAGACTTATAATGATTGTTAAGTAATTAGTTTAACATTAATTACTTTATTATTTGTCGAAAACCGGCAAAATCATTTTTTCTAACCTTTTGTATTCTAAAGTAATAAAATAAGCCTAAAGTGGATGACATTCCATGATTCCAATTTCCAGACAAGTTCAAATGAACTTAGGACAATTTTTTGGGATGTACGTGACTTTAATTTTTACCTTGTTTTTTCCTCCTCGTTTCCACTTTTTTTAATAAGTACCAAATTTTGCAGCTGCTGGATGTGTAGGCGGTATACTAAATATGTGCTTTACATGTAAACTTTTATCGTTAATAAATCATATTTAAATGATATGCATTTTTATTTAATATCTGACTCCAACATTAATTGTTTGACTTAATTAGTGTAAATATTGAATTGGATAAATTTAGTTTGGTGAAGGAGTCTAACATCAACTGAAAAGAGAGTTGTACCCGTGCCAATGAAACGAAAGAGCAACACTTCGTGCGAGGATGTTCTATGTATTGGAAGCTTCTTAGGAGAAAAAGGGTTTTTAAAAATAGAAATATTGAACTGAATTCGTTGATCTAATTTTTGTGGGTTGTACTTAATTGATATCATATACCAAACAATCGGTTTCTTCAATAAGATGGGGTCTATAGACAAAACATGTGATCAATTTAATTTTGAAATTTGCTATTTACAAAGTTTTTGATCTCCCTCTAGGCCTCTACTAATTGTAATAGGAAATGACGACAACTTTCTATTTGACATGGACATTAAGTCTTTAACGGTAAAGTTCGGTAGAAATTATGATGACTTGCTTTGATACACATCTACTCAACGTGACCACAACAACAATATACCCGTGTATATTATCCCACATCGTAGGGTTTGAAAATGATAGCGTATGCAAACTTTATCCCTACCTTGTGAGGATAGAGAGATTGTTTCCAATAGACCATCGGCTCAGGAAAGCATAAGTACCATATTAATGAAAATATAGACAAGTAGGGACAGTACCAAAAAGCCATATAAAAGTAGAATAAAAACAACAAGATAATAAGGTAATCAACAATGGAAGAAAATAACGGTTAGTCATAAAAACCTACTATTACCAACAGAACGCGAGACTGTGTGTCAATACTACTGTTATGAACACTCTAGAGTCTAGACTACCTACTCTACTACCCTAATCCTCGACCTGCATATTTTCCTATCAAGGGTCATGTCCTCGATCAGCTGAAGTTGCGTTATGTCTCTTGCCTAATCACCTCTCCCCACCTCTTCTTTTGGCCTACCTCTACCTCTCCATAAGCTCTCCAATGTCAACCTCTCACACCTCCTCACCAGGGCGTCTCACACTCACCTTGTCGCGAATAACCTCATTTCTGATCCTATCTAACCTGGTGCGCCCGCACATCCATCTCAACATCCTCATCTCTACTACCTTCATCTTCTAGACATGAGCGATCTTGACTAGCCAACACTCAACCCCATACAACATCGATGGTCTGACCACCACTCTGTAGAACTTGCCCGTAAGTTTCGGTGGCACCTTCTTGTCACACAAAATACCGGAAGCGAGTCGCCATTACATCCATCCCGCTCCAATACAATGTGTGACATCTTCATCAATCTCCCCGTATGAAAATAATAAAATTCTAAGCTCCGGCTGTCTACTCTACCAGGAATGATTACAACTATTATTTGTCAAAAAATGCTTAAGATATATATATTATCTTAGCATTTTTAAGTATAGAAGGTTGTAACTTTTCGCAGTATTTTTTTTATGTAATTAATAATTATCTAAATTTTATTATCGAAAGTTTTTGATGTCCAAATTCGTACTTTTTACTTACCATCATATATATCTAAATTTTATTATCGAAACGGTAATATATATATGCTTGAGGCAAAGATTCCCTTTAGAAGTTTCTTTAAAAGGAGAGTAATGAGGTTGGACCAGTTCAGCAGCCATATATTTTTCTTGTGATATATATATGTGGGGTTACATTAACACTTGCCAGGCAAATTGAACGGTCATATGTATATATTACTCAAACATGCCATTATATGGCGCAACGGCCATCTAGAAAAAGAGCAAATTAAATGGCTCTTCATATATTAGTGCAAATGACAGCTAAGTATGACTTGAATTAAGGTGTCTCCTCTCTGGTACAGTATAGTCCTCTGATATTATGTTTTAATAAAACAAAGAAAGAGAAAAGGCCAGACTTCTTGTTCACGTTTAATTGTAGGGTAGTTTGGTTTTAGAATACGCAAGCACGTAACGTTCATTTAGAATCAACTAAGAAATTTTACTTTTACTATCTTCTGACATTAATTGGCTTCAAGTTTCATATTTGGAAATGGAGAAGATTTATTTATTTTCATATATCTTGGTTAATTAGAGATGGAGTGAAATGTGCATGCAATTTTGATGTCCAATGGGACAGTTGGCCCTTAACGTTGGGTGCAAAAAAGGAAAATACAGTTGTAATATTTCTTTAGTTCCTTGTAATATTTCTTTAGTTCCTATATCTGTCGAATGTCATTCCAAATTGAAGATAGTAAAGTATATAGGACAGGCCAAATTGAACCGTTGGATTACACCTTTTACACCTAACGGCAAACAATCTCCACAATATTCACATTCAAAGGTATAGAAATGAAAAGGAATTTTGACGTAAAGAGTAAGAAATTTTAAGCTCAGATCACCTAAAAATATATATATTCCTCTTTTAAAAAACTAAAGCAATCTATTGTTGGGTTTTGTTATTATTTATTAATAACAAAAGAGGCGTGAATGGAAATGGTGGGAAAAAAAATGAAGGGAAGCGAAATTTTAAATGAGTTCATTTTACTAATGCACTTTGTCCCTCATTGGTAGAAGGAAAGAAAATCTTTGTGTATATATAGAAAAACTCATCTTTTAGCTCTTAAAGAGTTAAGAAGAAGGCAAGCCTCGCACCGCCGTCGTCGCTCGGCTTGGCTTCGACTTCGGATAATATTTAATTAATTAACGAAAATTCAATTCGAAATAACCTGCGACCTGGTTCGGTTCGGCCCAGCTATGGCTGTTCTAAAGGTTGCAAACTTTTTCAGAAACAGTACCAAATTGGCTATAAATATACCTTCAAATCCCAGAATATTTACTTACGAAATTTTCTGATAATTTTCTTCTTTTTCTACACAAAAATTCCAGTGTATTTTGCAGCCTTCGAGTGGTTCGCTGTTCATCGGCGTTTTTGGTACCAACACTCTGGTGAGTTAAATCATTTCGCTGTTCATCGGCGTTTTTGGTACCAACACTCTGGTGAGTTAAATCATTTCGCTGTTCATCGGCGTTTTTGGTACCAACACTCCGGTGAGTTAAATCGTTCTATCCTAGGAGGATATATTCCAGAACCTCGGGTACTTGAGGGGAATAATTTTTAAGGACACACTGTGTATTCAGTGGGCTCGATTTGTTCCTATACCGTTTTCAGAATTTATTTTGAAGAAGTTCAAGTATTGTTTTCGGAATTTAATTTCTACTAACTTTCTGTTTCTGTTTTCAGAAAGATTATTATTTTAATTATTTACAGCAATATAGATTAATAACAATCTTAAAGAAATTATTTTATTATATTCCGTATTCTGTTCGTGGAGATTAAAACCTGTGTGGTTTTCTACATTTTACTATTCTGATTTGAAGATATAAAAACTTCATCAGAGTATTGAAATTAAGAAAATGATTTGAAGAACATAAAAGCTTCATCGTTTTTCTGTAAAACAATATATAAAAACTTCGGTTGTTTTTTTATTACGTACTATTTATTGATTACAATATTATTTGTTGTTTTGGTTTTGCCATTAATTGAACTCTTTTGTTGTTGATAGTGAGAAATGGCAAATGATAACGGAAATCCTTCTGCGACTGTTGGTGCAACGACGATAGCCTCGTCAAGCCGCACTGTTGTTCCTTCGGCCGAGAAACCAGGGAAATTTTCTGGAGCCAACTTCAAAGGATGGCAGCAAGGGGTGTTCTTCTGGCTTACCACACTTGGTATGCAGAAATTCACTAGTGAAGAGCCTCCAATGCCTGTTACGGACATGCCGGACAATGAAAAGTTCATGGTTGTTGAGGCGTGAAAGCAGGCAGATTTTCTTTGCAAAGGCTATATCTTAAGTGCTTTAGAGGATAACTTGTACAATGTGTATAGTACAAGGAATA